AAAAAAAAAAAAAAAAAAAAAAAAAGAACTTGGCATAAGCCCACAAGCCTACGCAATATAACAAGACTCCTATCTGTACAAAAACAAAAATAATTAGCCAGCTGCGGTGGCACATGCCTGTAGTCCCAGCTACTCAGGAGGCTAAGGTGGGAAGATCACTTGAATCCAGGAGTTTGAAGTTACAGTGAGCAATGATTGCACCACTGCACTGTAGCCTGGGTGATAGGGCGAGACTCTGTCTCAAAAAAAATAAGCAAATAAATAAAAAGAAAAAGAACTTGGCACAGTGCTTGACACACATTAAATGCCTCCTTGGTTGATTTGGAAAATAGATATACATTCTCTTCTCTAAATGCTTTCCAAGTCTGTTCCACTACACTCCCAGATATGATATGATGAGACTCCCAGATATGATATGATGAGGTCAGATTGAGAAGAGAACCAGGACAAGAAAGAAAAGTTGTGTTGGTAAACTTGAACTGCGCCTGTAGCTTTAAATAATTTAATTAATTAAAAAATGTTTAATTGTGGCAAACATTTCTCCAACTGTTGAGTGTAGAGGCAGGAACCAGGACTAGTCAGCAGGGGCATGGGGGAGGCCATCAGGCTACATGAGGTCATTACTAGCGATTGCCTCTACTGCTGTTCACCTTAGGAAAATCTTTCTTTTTTTCATTTAATTTCTCTTATTTTCTGACTTCTTTTCTCTATGGCATTCACGGGATTTGTTTAACTGACTGGCCCTTGGCAGTCTGGGAGGTAGGGGATATTTGTTCTCTCTGCTTACTTGGCTCCGTTGGCCAACTCCATGGGCTCTCAGTGCCGTCCCTCTGCCCCTCGGATGCCCCACCCCATCCACCCATACATTCAGGGTGCTCTGTGTGCACTTTCCCTCTCTGCATGTGGAATAATCCCATGCCCTGGATCTCTCCTTTCCTTCTTTCCTCGTGTTACAATTTTCCTGTCTTGTGCATGCGCCGTCAGAGCCCTGGTCCTCACCCTGCAAGGTGACATCTAGCTGATTTGAGAAACGGCATAATGGAAGTGGTGGCTGCTTTGTTAGTGGGACGGGACCAGCTCTTCCAAACTGGACCCTATGTTGTTGTCTAACCCAACTGGGTGGCCACGATGATGACAATGGTAGGCCTCTTAGATCAGGTAGGAGAGGCGAGCAGCCTTGTGTCAGGTCAAAGGGAGAGAGTTTTGGGGCCTGTGAGGCCTTTTACCAGCATCAGGTCACACCGTCAAGGCTACTGAGTGCCCTGTGTAGGTTCAGGGCTGTGGCTGTGTGCTGTGTCAGCCCTCAGAGCTAGAGAGCTTGCTTCTAGTTCTTAGAAGGAACTAAGTCTCCTAAGCCTGCTACCCTTTCTCTTGCCTTTCTCAGAAGGCAGAGGTATTCAGAAAAGGGCAAGAGAGAGAGCAGGAGGCCCAGGAGACTTAGTTTCTGAGAATCTTTTGCTCTATAGTGACTCCGAGCAAGTCCTGCCGTGCCTTGGGACACCTAGAAAACTGAGTTTGTCCCTGCTGGGTAGCCGGGTAGTGAGCCAATTCCCTGCCAACCTGGAGGATCATTATCTGTGTGGTTGGTAGAGCAGGGTGGTTGTGTGCAGCCTGCTGCCATGGGGGCAGAGCTCTTGCCAGCTGGTCCACCTTCCTGGGCTGTGTGTTTTCAGGCCATGGCCAGTGCAGCTGTGGGGACTGCCTGTGTGACTCCGACTGGACCGGCTACTACTGCAACTGCACCACACGTACTGACACCTGCATGTCCAGCAATGGGCTGCTGTGCAGCGGCCGCGGCAAGTGTGAATGTGGCAGCTGTGTCTGTATCCAGCCGGGCTCCTATGGGGACACCTGTGAGAAGTGCCCTACCTGCCCAGATGCCTGCACCTTTAAGAAGTGAGTGTGCAGTCTGGAGAGAGCCGGGAGGCTGGGAGGTAGGAGAGGGTCCCCTGACTAGAATCTCCAGCTCTCCAGGTGTGTTTCTTGCTAACCAGAGCCTTAGGGAGAGGAGTCCACTCCAGCCAGATGGCTACCTCTCCTTTTGCCAAAGGCTTTGGGCAAGTTAGAATAGAACCAACTGAAGGGGCCAAATTTGAACGAGCTGGACTTTGATTGGAGAATGTCCTCTCCTAAGGTGACATCCTGACTCCCTCTGAGTTGGGAGGAAGGCTGAACCAGTCTGAGGAACGATCCAGTGCTGATGTTCTGATTCAGTGGGAGATGTGGGGCTGGAATTATGGAGGACACTGTGAAACTACTACAAACCTCCCACTTTAGTGGCCAGAGGAAGCCCTGTCAGCCCAAGTCCATGGCACTGCCATTCTGCTCACCACTTTCAGCAGGGCCAGATTTACGAGCATGCAACCTGTACAGCTGTGCAGGGCCCTGTGCCTAGAAGGGCCTCATTCTTGTTTTAATGCTCTGCCATCACTGTCTTGACATTCTTAGTAATCTTTGAACAAGGGAGCTGACATTTTCATTTTGCACTGGGCCCCCAAATGACATGACTGGTTCTGACTTTATAGTTCTCAGAAGTGGCATAGGGTTCACCATCCTGGCACAGCCCTGGATGGGACGGGTTTAATGAAGGACCTGGGAGGCTTCTGGCTGCCAGGTGCTGCCTACGGGTGAGGGGGACACTCCCACCCCTGAACTGCACACTTGCCATTCAGGTCCCCAGGATTGTCTTACAGGCATGTGTCTGTGTGTGTGTGTGTGTGTGTGTGTGTGTGTGTGTGTGTGTGTGTGTTTTAATGGAGGTGGAGCAGCTTTCTGAATGCATGGAGATCGGAGCTGGACTGGGATACGCTTCGGTTTGCACCTTCTTTGCCTTAATCACTGTGTCCTCTCTCCTTCAGAGAATGCGTAGAGTGTAAGAAGTTTGACCGGGGAGCCCTACATGATGAAAATACCTGCAACCGTTACTGCCGCGATGAGATTGAGTCAGTGAAAGAGCTTAGTAAGTTCAGCACATCTTAGAGTTACACACACCCAGGTTCTAAATGTTTCTAATTCAATCTCAGCACCTCTCCAACTCCCATCTGTAAAATGGAAGCGTGACTCCTACCTCAGGGAATGTTGTGCAGGCCTGATGAACGACGGATTCTTGATGTGAGCTGATGTCTCTGAGAGTCGTCCTCCTCTCTTACTAGTGTGTGCAGCCGTCCACCACTTCTGCTTCCCAGAGCCCACAGACTCAAAAAGAGCCTGCAAAACAAAGGGAGCAAGTGCTTCCCTAAGGAAGGGAACAGAATGTATCCCATTTTGCAGATGGAAAAACTGAGGGACAGAGCTGGGAAGTGGTTGCCTGTGATAGTCATCATCTTAGTTCAGTAGGCTAGTAAGTGTTTACCAAGTTTACTTAACTAAAATTGTTATGCAGTGCCCAAGATTTTGCTTAAAGCTTTGCAGGTTTGGAGGGAAACCTTCAACCTTATGGATAGGTAACAAAAAGCTTTATCTGAAGTCCTTCTACCTCTCTGGAGCCCCTTTTGAAATAAGACAGACAGAAATACAAACAATAGGGAGAAAAAAAGTCTTGCCTGCAATTATTCTTGAAGTATTCTCTGTACTTCATCTTAACTTAAAAGGAGATGATCTTTGCTGCTGTCGTCACATCTGATATAGTTATGTGGGCCAGTGAGGCACTGGGTAGTACTAGAGAGATGGCAATCTCTCCACAGATAGCAATCTCCCATGAAGGCAGAAACACATTTCAGAGAGAGCCACAGTAAGACACAGCCAGCCAGTCAGCTTCCTGGTGGGGGTGTTATGCAAAAGAGTCAGATCTCTGGGCCTTTTGGCTAATATCAGAAGTAGGGCTGGGGTGAGGTTAGTGATTTGGGGATTGAGTTTGAAGAAATAGTTTTTCCTCTGGAAGAGATTAGGCTTGCTATGATTAGTTCAGAGAGGAGAAGTTGCTGAGATGTTGAGTTATTTTTATCATCTAGTCTAGGTGGGTATTACAAGTTAATTGATAAGTAGTTCTCTACCTCCACCTCCCCTCTACCGGTGGTATTATAGTACAGGGAAAAGAGTATGGAAATAAGCATATTAAAATACATGCTTATTTGTAGGGAATTTTATAGCTTGTAAAAGTTATAAAGTATCTTTCATATACATTATCTTATTATTCTGTCAATAGCCTAGTGAAGTAGAACTACAGTACTATTATTATCTTCATTTTGAGTCTCAGGAAAGTTAAGTAACTGGCCCAAGCAAGGGAATGGCAAATTAAGTTAAGAACTAGATCCTGAAATTCATACTCTTTTCCCTGTATTATAATACCACTGGTTTTCTGAAGGGTTGTTGAGTTCAAGTCTGCAGGATGTGCTTTTAGACTCCTGTTCTTGTTCTGCTTCATCACTCATTTGCTGTGTGACCTGAGTACATTTGCTTAATTTCATCATGTGTCAGTTTTATTCATCTGGTTTCATCAGTATGGGGCATAGTGCAGCTGGTGGAAGGTAACCTCTAGTATCATTGGCAGTATAACAGGCTTTAGAATTACAAGAGATGAAGTCTACAAAACATGGTGGGAGTCAGAGAAGAGAGGATAGCTCTGGGGAGGTATACCAGATCAGAAACATAAATGGAAGAAATAGAACAGCTGCATAAGCAGACTATTAAGAATCACTAAGCAAGCAGAGAAAGGAAAGAGAGGGAAGAGTACACCTACTATATGTTAGGCACTGTTTGTGCTGTTTAGTTCACTGACCTTGTGAGGTTGGGATATCATTTTCTTTTTATAGATGAAGAAAGACTTGATGAGGTCAGGTAACTGACCCAAGATCACACAACAGGTAGGGAGTGAAGCCAGGATTTGAATTAAATTGTGTAATACTGTTACATCATGTCCCTTTCAGAGGAAGGATTAGTAACCAAAAAGGGCCTGTGCAGTACAAAATACATCAGTGAGGGTCAGTGAGTGGCAGCTGCCAGACACAACAGCTACTTTGAATCTAGGCATTGTGCACATGAGGCACAGGGTTTCCTGTCACACACTTTCCCAGAAGTCTTGTAATAGGGGTTTGGAGTAGCCCCATCTTCCAGTAGTTGTCTCACTTTTTATTCCTCCATTTTCCCTACTCCCAGAGGACACTGGCAAGGATGCAGTGAATTGTACCTATAAGAATGAGGATGACTGTGTCGTCAGATTCCAGTACTATGAAGACTCTAGTGGAAAGTCCATCCTGTATGTGGTAGAAGAGCCAGGTGAGTGAACCCTGAGGGCTCCCGGCCCTGCCCCAGGAGGGAGAGAGAGAACCATGTTAGGCAGGAATCTCTACTCATCTATGCTCTTAAGCAAAACAGGTTAATCCTGCAAGTAATAAGTTAGGGCCCAGGTGTGGTGGCTCATGCCTGTAATCCCAGCAGTTTGGAAGGCTGAAGTGGGTGGATCACCTGAGGTTAGGAGTTCAAGACCAGCCTGGCCAACATGGTGAAACCCTCTCTCTACTAAAAATACAAAAACATTAGCTGGGCATGGTGGCACATGCCTGTAATTCCGGCTCCTCGGGAGGCTGAGGCAGGAGACTCACTTGCACCTGGGAAGCGGAGGTTGCAGTGAGCTGAGATTGCGCCACTGCACTCCAGCCTGGGCAACAGAGTGAGACTCTGTCTCAAATAAACAAACAAAAAAAACCAAATGATAAGTTAGGGACCGTCATCTGGATGAAGGGTATTTATAAACACAAATATTACCAAGAAAGTGACTTGTTAATTGAGGAGACAAGAAAAGCAGAAAGAGGGTAAGGAGAAGAAGATAGATATGGATCTCATTAATGGACAAAATATATCACTGCATTTTTTTGAGGCAATGATGTCAAGAAATAAAGAATTTAAATTTTAGGACTTTACAGCACATGGCATCTGCACTATTAAAATTGAGATAGTTGCCAAGAGTAACTTGACTGTGCTTCAGAGGAAGACCTGATGGTTAGAGGTATTACCTTTCCAAGTTTACTGCAGGATGGGGTAGGGATGGGTTTCAGATACTAAGGCAAGGTTGCCCTGAACACTGAAAGGACAGTGCCTTCTGGGAGCAGGAGGAATCCATCCCATCATACACAGACCAGCCACAGGTTTGTCACCATCCAATGCTGTCTATTGCTTGCTTCCCTTTAACACCTTTATGACCTTTGTTCTCCTTAAACAACGTATTAAGATGAATTATTACAAAACACTTTTGAGTATTCACTGCCATAGACCCTTTCCTCCACATTAGGAGAACAGACCCCAGAGCCATAGACCCATGTTTCGTATCTTTTTTTTTGAGATAGGGTCTCATTTTGTTGCCCAGGTTGGAGTGCAGTGGTGTGACCTTGGCTTACTGTAGTCTCAACGTCTTGGGCTTACACAGTCCTCCCATCCCAGCCTCCCTGGGACTACAGGCATACACTACCACACCTGGCTACTTTTTAAGTTTTATTTTTTGTAGAGACAAAGTCTCACTATGTTGCCCTGGCTAGTCTCAAACTCCAGGGCTCCAGTGATCCCCCTGCCTCAGCCCCCCAAAGTGCTGGGATTACAGGCATGAGCCAATACACAGGGCCAACATTTCCTATGTTGTTGCTCTGGAATTCTAGGCTCTGCCTCCCTGCTTGTCTCCCAACTCCAGTCATTTCCTGTCTTTGAGTAGAATGTTGCAGGTGGGGTCTCAGACAATGGAGGAGATCATTGTCTTTCTCTTCCCCAACTCATGCTCTTGCAGATGCTCTCCTTGAAGGGCTAAGCCACTATAGGGCAGTAAAGACAACACTGCCAAAAGTTTTGGCATTGGCCAAATGGAATTTAACTTCATGGAATGGGCTCTTGAGCTGGGCTCTTATCACTCCCAGATGGGGTTGCCAAATAGAATATACTATGTCCCATGCAATATTTGGTACACACTGATAGTAAAAAATAATCATTTATCTGAGATTCAAATTTGTCTTGGCTTCCTGGTCTTTTCTTTTTTCTTTTCTTTTTTTTTTTTTTTTGAGACAGAGTATTGCTCTGTTGCCCAGAGTGGAGTACAGTGGCGTGATCTTGGTTCACCGCAATCTCTGCTTCCCGGGTTCAAGCAATTCTGCTGCCTCAGCCTCCCGAGTAGCTGGGATTACAGGCGCCCACCAACACAACTGACTAACTTTTGTATTTTTAGTAGAGGCAGGGTTTCACCATGTTGGCCAGGCTGGTCTTGAACTCCTGACTTCAAGTGATCTGGCTGCCTTGGTCTCCCGAAGTGCTGGGATTCCAGGTGTGAGCCACCGCACGGGGCCAAGCATCCTGTGTCTTTGTTTGCTGAAACTGCCAACCCTACCCAGACTCCTCTGACCTTGGGTCATTTGCCATTGGTCCCCTGCTGTGGCTGGAAGAGCCCTCCAGAGGTCACCTGATCTTGCCCTCTGCTTCCAGGAAGCCCACCCCAAACTCCTTTCAGGACACATGGTTAACAGATTGTTTTCCTGTGAAGACCTTCTGGCACCCTACCTGTCTTGACCATACTAATGTGCAGAATTAAAGAGATTTTACTTTGATAATTGAAGGTCAGCCCTACCCAAGTCTTCCAAAGAATCCATAATTGTTTTTCCCAGCAGAACTGGGGCCCTTCGTTCCTGGGAACTTGAACACTAGAACCTCACAGCCTCTCTCCGGGCACACATTTGATTATAGACAGGTTGTAATTTGGTGGGTTGGGAGATAGCCAGCTTGGGTTATGGTGGTGGTTGTTTTTGTGTTGTGTGTGGTGAGCATTGGGTATATGTTTGGAGAAGAAGGTGGGAGACAGTGTGGAAAGTGGGTGTGACTTCCTCTCTAGGCTCATTAGTACCCTCATATATAAACACCTGGTTTCATAACACTTGAGGTTACTGGAATAAGATTAGATACCTGACATTTGTGGGAAGCAGAGCTCTGCGGAGTATACTCAGCCTGACCCCCAGAGGGGTGACATGCCTCTGTTTTAGTTGTTGACTGGGGTTGAACAGGAAGTCAGCTTTCAATAGGGTTATGATTTTAGATGACTAAATATTTTGGGAAAGAACCCAATATATTGTATTGGCTGGCAGGTCCTGGTCTCTAAGAATGCAAAAAATGTCATTAGGTTCACAGCCCTCAGGAATGTAAGTATCTGAACCAGGGTAACAGACACAAATACTTACAGTGGCTGAGGAAGCAAGTAAGTTAGTGAAAACAGCTGGATATAAAAAGATCAGTTACAATGGTAGCTGATATTTACTGAGCACTTATTCTGTGCCAGGCATTGTTCTGAGTTTTTAAGATATATTTAATTTAATTATTCCTCATAACAAGTTTCTTTTAAAGTCAGTGCTATTACTATCTTCATTTTAAAGATGGAGAAACAGGAAACAGACATTCAGAAAGGTTAAGTAATTTTCCAAAGATCATGTATCAAAGTTAAGCGATAAGTCAGGATTCAAACCCAGGGAGTCTGGCTCTAGCGTCCACAGGAGCACAGACACACCAACAAATCACACTGCCTTCCTCTAGGAGAGAGAAGGGAGAGTGGTGGGGATTCTGGTAAACTAGAAAATACGCATTCCAAGTAAAAGGAGCAGCTCCTCCTCAGCTGTAGCTAGCTGCTGCCCTGCAGGAATATAGGTGTCAGTGTTTCTAAATCTTTGGATTTCCTTCCTTCCTTCCCTCCCTCCCTCCCTCCCTCCCTTCCTTCCTTCCTCCCTCCCTCCCTCCCTCCTTCCTTCTCTTTCTCTCTTTCTCTCTTTCTTTCTTTTGAGATAGGCTCTCCCTCTGTCATCCAGGCTGGAGAGTGGTGGCATGATAATGGCTCACTATGGCCTTGACCTCCCAGGCTCAAATGATCCTCCCACCTTAGCCTCCTGAGTAGCTGGGACTACAGGCATATGCCACGATGCCTGGCTAATTAAAAAAACAATTTTGTAGAGGCAGGGCCTCACTATGTTGCCCAGGCTGATCTTGAACTTCTGGATTCAAGCTATCCTCCTGCCTCGGCCTCCCAAGTGCTGGCATTATAGGCATGAGCCACTGTGCCTGGCCTGGATTTTCTTTTTAAAGAGACTAATATGAAATTTTCGGGGGAGAATCTCCTGATTATTCAATACTGCCAATAAAATCAATTTTTAATTTTTAATTTAATTTAATTTTATTTTTTGAGATTGAATTTTGCTCTGTTACCCAGGCTGGAGTGCAATGGTGTGATCTCGGTTCACTGTAACCTCCACCTCCCAGGTTCAAGTGATCGGTGCTTCACCATGCCAGGCTAATTTTTGTAGTTTTCATAGAGACGGGGTTTCACCATGTTGACCAGGCTGGTCTCAAACTCCTGACCTCAGATGCTCTGCCCTCCTTGGCCTCCCAAAGTACTAGGATTACAGGTGTGAGCCACCACACCCAGCTTTTTATTTTTAAATTTTTAAAAAAAACTTTAATTTTAGCTTTAGGGGTACATGTGTGGGTTTGTTCTGTAGATAAATTGTGAGTCATGGGGGTCTGGTGTACCTATTATTTCATCACTCAGGTAATAAGCATAGTGACTCATAGTTTTTTGATTCCCACCCTCCTCCCTGCCTCCACCCTCTAGTAGATCCCAGTGTCTGTTGTTCTCTTCTTTGTGTTTAATTTTTAAAATAAACACTTGGGTGAACCCCCACACAAAGGTGTGGCTGGGTTCCGTCCAGGGGTTACCAGGTCTAGACTTCTGATTTGAGTCACTCAGCACAGATTATTGTTGTCCTAATGATTGTCTCCGTAAAACAATTAATTTTTGAAAACTGTCCTATTTCCTTCAAGGACCTTAATTACTTTGTCAAGAACACCTTATTCATAGCCAGTTCAAGTGATTCTTGCTTCATTCACAACCGCCTGCTCTGTGCTTCTTCCTCACAGAGTGTCCCAAGGGCCCTGACATCCTGGTGGTCCTGCTGTCAGTGATGGGGGCCATTCTGCTCATCGGCCTTGCCACTCTGCTCATCTGGAAGCTCCTCATCACCATCCACGACCGAAAAGAGTTTGCTAAATTTGAGGAAGAACGCGCCAGAGCAAAATGGGACACAGTAAGAGATTGGGCTGGGCTTTTTCTAAAAAGTCATTGGTCTGAGGCCCTTATGTGGAAGCAACAGATGCTTTGGGTGGTCAGGTTCAGCCAGCACCATTGTCTTTCTGTTATCCTCTGTTTTGGAAATGAGGAGAGATGGTCTTACTGTCCCTTTGTCCTTCAGCTTCCTTCAGCCTCTTAGAAATAGTGGCAGGATGTCATTCCACCTCATTCTATTCTTTCTCCTCAATAATATGGTTACTTCCAGGCTGGGCCTGGTGGCTTGTGCCTGGTGGCTTGTGCCTGTAATCCCAGCACTTTGGGAGGCCATAGTGGGCAGATCACTTGAGCTCAGGAGTTCGAGACCAGCCTGGGCAACATGGTGAAACCCCGTCTCTATTAATAATATAAAAATTAGCTGGATGTGGTGGTGCACACCTGTAATCCCAGCTATTCGGGAGGCTGAAGCAGGAGAATTGCTTGAACCATTAGGTGGTCGTAGTGAGCAGAGATCGCACCCTTCTCTGGGTGACAGAGCAGGACTCTGTCTCAAAAAAAATAAATAAAATAAAATAAAATAAAAGGTTACTTCCAAATCAGACTTTACTCTTTTATTCTGATTTATTGTATTTTTAGTAGAGACAGGGTTTCACCATGTTGGCCAGGCTGGTCTCGAACTCCTGACCTCATGATCACTTGCCTCAGCCTCCCAAAGTGCTAGGATTCCAGGCGCCTGGCCAAGAATGTGTTTCTTGAAACCACCATTAAGGACTACTAGACCGTATAGGATTTGTTACTTTCTGTTGGAAAATAGTTTGGGAAACCTAGTGAGGGTCTTTTTCCTGATAACATGACAGTTTGTGGATAGTGCTTTCTCTTTCTCTCCTCTTCCCTCCCCTCCTCTCTCCTCCCCTTCCTTTTTCCTTTGCTTCCCTCCCCTTCCCTTCCTCCCCTCCCCTCCTTTTCTTTCCCTTCCCTTCCCTCCTTCCTTCTTTTTTTGAGACAGGGTCTCATTCTGTCATCCATGCTGGAATGCAATGGTGCCATCATGGCTCAGTGCAGCTTCAATCTCCTGGGCTCAAGTGATCCCCCCACCTTACCCTCCTGAGTAGCCAGGACTATAGGCACACATCACCACAGCCAGCTAACTTTTGTATTTTTTTCCCTTGTAGAGACAGGGTCTCACTCTGTTACCCAGGCTGGTCTCGAACTCCTGGGCTCAAGTGATCTTCCTACTTTGGCCCCTAAAAGTGCTGGGATTATAGGCATAAACCACCATGCCTGGCCATGGTTAGTGCTTGGCCAGATTAGATGAAAACAAATTAATAATTATTTGAGCAAAAGCTTTCCTCTGTGTTCTGAATTCCACCTGCTACATTTCTGTCCTTGTCCACATCTCCCATCACTGTCACAGGGAATGGAAAATAGGAGAAGTGTAAAAGAGAGGGGGACACAGGGTGAAATAGGAGAAGTTCTATCCCTGAATGCTGTGGGATCACTGAAGAGTGATAAGCTGAATTTAGCTCCTTAGAAATAGTGTCAGGGAACAGGTGTGGTGGCTCACGCCTATAATTCCAGCACTTTGGAAGGCTGAGGCAGGTGGATCGCTTGAGCTCAGGAGTTTGAGACCAGCCTGGGCAACATGACGAAACCCCATCTCTACAAAAAAATGTAAAAAGTAGCCAGACATGGTGGTGTGTGCTTGTAGTCCCAGCTACTTGGGAGGCTGAGGTAGGAGGATATCTTAAGTCAGGGGAGGTGGAAGTTTCAGTAAGCCGAGATTGTGCCACTGCACTCCAGCCTGGGCAACAAAATGAGACCCTGTCTAAAACAATAATAATAAGAAGAAGAAGAAAGGGTGGCAGGATGGCATTCTATCTCATCTCCTCCTGTTATTTCCTATTGATTCCCATGCCAAGAACTAAAGTGGGAGTAAAATGAACATTATTCTGTTTCATCGATGGTGTATTCCAGAGAAGGGTGCCTTGGGAAAACTTCTGAGATGAATTTTAAACATTCAGGGTAGGGAAGGACTGAGGAAGTCACTGTAAGATGCTTTTCTGTTTCCTTCACAGGCCAACAACCCACTGTATAAAGAGGCCACGTCTACCTTCACCAATATCACCTACCGGGGCACTTAATGATAAGCAGTCATCCTCAGATCATTATCAGCCTGTGCCACGATTGCAGGAGTCTCTGCCATCATGTTTACAGAGGACAGTATTTGTGGGGAGGGATTTGGGGCTCAGAGTGGGGTGGGTTGGGAGAATGTCAGTATGTGGAAGTGTGGGTCTGTGTGTGTGTGTGTGTCTGTGTGTTGTGTGTGGGAGTGTGTAATTTAAAATTGTGATGTGTCCTGATAAGCCGAGCTCCTTAGCCTTTGTCCCCAGAATGCCTCCTGCAGGGGATTCTTCCTGCTTAGCTTGAGGGTGACTATGGAGCTGAGCAGGTGTTCTTCATTACCTCAGTGAGAAGCCAGCTTTTCTCATCAGGCCATTGTCCCTGAAGAGAAGGGCAGGGCTGAGACCTCTCATTCCAGAGGAAGGGACGCCAAACCTTGGCTCTACCCTGAGTTCATAAGTTTATGGTTCTTGGGCCTGACTCTTAGCAGCTATAGTAGGAACTGCTGTGCTTGGCAGCCCAGGTCATCTGTACCTCTGCCTCCTTTCCCCTCCCTCAGGCTGAAGGAGGAGTCAGGGAGAGCTGAACTATCAGAGCTGCCTGTGCCTTTTGCCATCCCCTCAACCCAGCTATGGTTCTCTCGCAAGGGAAGTCCTTGCAACCTAATTCCTTGACCTGTTGGGAGTGAGGATGTCCGGGCCACTCAGGGTCATTCATGGCCTGGGGGATGTACCAGCGTCTCCCAGTTCATAATCACAACCCTTCAGATTTGCCTTATTGGCAGCTCTACTCTGGAGGTTTGTTTAGAAGAAGTGTGTCACCCTTAGGCCAGCACCATCTCTTTACCTCCTAATTCCACACCCTCACTGCTGTAGACATTTGCTATGAGCTGGGGATGTCTCTCATGACCAAATGCTTTTCCTCAAAGGGAGAGAGTGCTATTGTAGAGCCAGAGGTCTGGCCCTACCCTTCCGGCCTTCTGTCCCTCGTTCATAGCACCTCCACATACCCAGCCCTGTGCCTTGGTGTGCTGTATCCACCCATGGGGCTGATTGTATTTACCTACTACCTCTTGGCTGCCCTGTGAAGGAATTATTCCCATGAGTTGGCTGGGAATAAGTGCCAGGATGGAATGATGGGTCAGTTGTACCAGCATGTGTGGCCTGTTCGTCTATGGGTTGGACAACCTCATTTTAACTCAGTCTTTAATCTGAGAGGCCACAGTACAATTTTATTTTATTTTTCTCATGATGAGGTTTTCTTAACCTAAAGGAATATGTATATAAACATGCTTGCGTTATGTTTGTAAATTTATATGATGGCAAAGAAGGAGAGCATAGGAAGCCACACAGACTTGGGCAGGGTACAGACACTCCCACTTGGCATCATTCACAGCAAGTCACTGGCCAGTGACTGGATCTGTGAGGGGCTCTCTCATGATAGAAGGCTATAGGGATAGATGTATGGACACACTGGACCCTTCCTGAGGAGGAGGGACTGTTCTTTTGTCTCAGAAAAGCAGTGGCTCCATTGGTGTTGACATACATCCAACATTAAAAGCCACCCCCAATCGCCCAAGAGAAAAAGAAAACCTTATCAACAGTTGTTCCATGAGCAGAAAACAGGAGTTCTGATCTCAGTGTTGCAGCTAAATAATCTTTAACTCTAATTAAGGCAAGTCACTTTCTTCTTCTTAAGGCTGTTTTCTAGTTTGAGAACTGGGTTTTGAGCAGCCAGTCTTGAAGATCTCTTTCAGTATCAACATTCTAAGATGCTGGGACTTACTGTGGCATCAAATGTGTGGTCAAGATTCTGTGGGATATTGATACTGTGTGTGTTTTCAGTTGGGAGATCTGAGAGACCTGGCTTTGGCAAGAGCAGATGTCATTCCATATCACCTTTCTCAATGAAAGTCTCATTCTATCCTCTCTCCAAACCCCTTTTCCAACATTTGTTAATAGTTATGTCTCTCCTGATGTAGCACTTAAGCTTCATTTAGCTATTATTTCTTTCTTCACTTTGCACACATTTGCATCCACATATTAGGGAAGAGGAATCCATAAGCAGCTGAAATATCTATTCTGTATTCTTGTGTTAACATTGAGAATAAGCCTTGGAATTGGATACGGGGCAATGGCTGAGCCTTGTCTTACCCATGGATTACTCCTTACTGTAGGGAATGGGAATGTGGTAGAGGTGTAAATAGGGGACGGGGAGGGATAGTCATGGATCCAAGAAGTCTAGAACCTAATTAGCACCTTCAGCTACTAAGACAGAGTCCATGAGAATGTTAATGGGACATTTTCTTTAGATAACATGTTTTATATGAAGAAATTGTATCAAAGGGGGGAAGGAAATGTATTTAAAGGGTGAATCAAATCAGGAATCTTGCCTGAGCCACTGGAATGAAGTTCACAGGTCTTGAAGACCAGTACTATTTGTCAATATGTGGGGATAACCTGTAGCTGCATTCGTGAGGTAGCAAATAGCAGTTTTGGCCTGTGGGGTGAACAGTTAAACAGTGTTCTGGCATCAGATAACACAGCACAAAGGGATTGTGTCTAGCTCTTTTGGAGAAAATTTATGTCTAGTCTCAGGAGCTGTGGACAATAATGGGAAACTTTGAATATTCCTGACAAGTTGCCGTATTAGGAGTCAGTTCTTTACTTCTCTGATATTCCTAGGTCATCCATGATTTTTTTTTTTTTTTTTTAATTTGAGACGAAGCCTTGCTCTTGTTGCCTAGGCTGGAATGCAATGGTACGATCTCAGCTCACTGCAACCTCTGCCTCTTGGGTTCAAGCGATTCTCCTGCGTCAGCCTCCCCAGTAGGTGGGATTACAGGCACCTGCCACCATGACTGGCTAATTTTTGTAGTTTTAGTAGAGACGGGGTTTCCCCACGTTGGCCAGTCTGGTCTCGAACTCCTGACCTCAGGCGATCTGCCCTCCTCGGCCTCTCAAAGTGCTGGGATTACAGGCATGTGCCACCGTGCCCAGCTGGTCATCCATGATTGTAACGTGTGGGTCTAAAGGCCTCTTTTTCTTTGTTAAGTATTCCTGGTTGAAATTTCTTAAGTGCCTTCCTGACTTCCTAACCTTACCTTCTCTGTTTGGGTTTGTACAACAGTGAATTAAATGTACTTTCCAAAAAGAATTAGCCTAAGGCTGCCCAGTGCTTCCTGTGTTGTTATTTCTGTTTCCTTTGGATGAAAAGAGTAAGTGTCATTGACTCAGAAATGATTATTTTAGAACAAGCATATTTCCAAATGTAACAGAATGATGACTACTATGAGTACTGAAGCTAGTTTCAGAATCCAGAGCTTCTCTTTATATATACTTTTTTTTTTTTGAGATGGAGTCTGGCTCTGTCACCCAGGCTGGAGTGCAGTGGGCGTGAGCTTGGCTCACTGCAACCTCTGCCTCCTGGGCTCAAGAGATTCTCCTGCCTCAGCCTCCCGAGTAGCTGGGATTACAGGTGCCTACCACCATGCCTGGCAAATTTTGTATTTTTATTTATTTATTTTTGAGATGGAGTCTTGCTCTGTTGCCCAGGCTGGAGGGCAGTAGTGTGATCCCTGCTCACTGCAACATCTGCCTCTGGGGCTCAAGCGAGTCTCCCGCCTAAGCCTCCTGAGTAGCTGGGATTACAGGCGTGCACCACCACATCCGGCTAATGTTTGTATTTTTACTAGAGACAGGGTTTCACCAATTCATCATTGGCCAGGATGGTCACGAATTCCTGACCTCAACTGATCCGCCAGCCTGGGCTTCCCAAAGTGCTGGGATTATAGGTGTGAGCCACCAGACCCAGCGCTCTTTAGACTTAATATTTTTTAAATGAGTAGGTTATTACTGTTCTAATAGTTTGGGTTCTTTTTTTTTTTTTTTTAATTGGGTATTATTTAGGAACTTGTGCAACCTCAAAAGAACAGACTGCCAGTGTAGCCTAGATTTTGTTTGTAGGAAGCATAAATGGATAAAATAATAGCTTAATGGCAAATTATTTACAGGACCATTTAAATGCCTAAATTTTATCTAAGGCAGTGGTTGTCAAAGTGTGGTCCCAAGACCAGCAACATCATTATCAGCTAGAAACTTGTTAGAAATGAAAATTGACAGGCCCCACCCCACAGCTGCTGAATCAGAAAATCTGGGAATGGGGACCCATCATCTGGTTTAAGAAGCCTTCCAGGTGACTCTTAATTCATGCTCAAGTTTAAGAACAACTGATTTAAGGAGTCACATATTTAGCCTTCTTGCCTAGAAAAAACTTTATAGTAAGGCAGCTCAGTTACTGTATACAGTTAATAGCAAACCTTGGCTGACATACTCAGAAGATGAAATATCCACCCACACAAAATGAAAATCTACTTTGACCCATTTTCCAGGTTAAATGATCTTGGGCGTCTTGGTTTCACTCATGACCACAAATTCCCATGAAAAACTGAAAGACTAGAATCCTGGGGAAAAACTAACAGGATACTTTTTATGTGTACCAAGACGCAAGCAAGGAAATATTCTTACAGAATTTATTCACAGCTGAGACGGGATCAAAATCTTAATTATTAACATTATCATCCTATAGGATGCTAGAATAATACTTAGAATTTGTTACTTTACTTTTGGCTATTTAAAATTTATTCAGCATCAACAGTGTGGGACTGAAGTACTTTATATAACACTGATAACATAATCTTCGCCTTGAGTCTTTTTTTTTTTAATTTTTTTTTTTTTTTTTTGCAGACAGGGTCTCATTTTGTTGCCAGAGTGCAGTGGCACCGTCATAGCCACTGCAGCCTTGACCTCCCAAGCTCAAGTGATTCTCCTGTCTTGGCCTCCCAAAGTGTTGGGACTACAGGCACATGCCACTATACTCGGCTAATTAAAAACATATTTTTTGTAGAGATGAGGGCTCACTATATTGCCTGGGCTGGTCTCAAACTCCTGGGCTCAAGCAATCCTTCCACCTTGACCTCCCAAAGTACTGGAATTACAAGCATGAGCTACAGTGCCTGGCCTAAGTCTTAAATTCCTAACATAATGTACATTTTTTGAGCATAATACAATACATGACATCATTAAGAGATTACGTGAACATAGACTGAGACCTTTTATGGTGAAATCTTGTGAGATTCACTATGTTTTATTTATGTCTTGGTAATTGCTGACTAAATGTCTGGATGAAAATAGAGGATCTTATGTAAAATGAGATGAAAAGCTATATGTCAAGCCACATTTGTAATCCTTTAACTCTTGGCTTTGATAGTCCAAACTCTATGTAACAGAGCCATCTAATGATCACTGGGACCAATTACAAGCAGATTGCCTGGGAATTACTCAATTTTCACAATGATATAATGGAACCATAACGTATGCTCTGCAAATAAGCCATTTAAAAATCATTTCTATTTGGTTTTATAAAACAATATGTTTATGGAAGTATATATTCCTAATTTGTTTTAGTTTGATTAAAACATGCAAGGAGGCAGTCTTAGAAGCTTGTGATTAGGGTTAAGTATATCATTACATAAAAATTAAAAAATCCAGTTAATGTGGCTACCTAAGAATGGTTTGCATGTGAAAAGAAAATGAAGAGGTCAGGAACATGACTGCCTGCCTTGAGGCTGCTAATGTTATAATAAAGCCCCTCCAATACCTTGCATAAAGGAAACACTTTCATTGGCCATATATTTTCTGACACACCAAAAATTGCTCACAGAAAGCACCGTTTAGAAAATTTTGCAGCCTTTAAACAAAATGTCCATTGTAAATTATTCTTTAGCAGTGTCCCCAATAAGAACCTGTGAGGAAAAAGTTTCACGATTGATTTCATTTTAATATAGTAATTGGATTTTCCAATGACTCATACAGAATTGGCATGATTCTTTGGAGAGATCACAGTGATGATGTGTAACTATCACTTTGGTGGCCAATGGAAATACTTTGTTAAGAAATTGGAAAAAAATGTTGATGGGTGTGTGCTGGACTTTGCTTTTCCTGACCCTTACACTCACCATTGTGACAGAGATTGCTGATTGTGTCCAGTATGTTTTCTCCTTCTCACATAATATTAGAACTTCTGCTGTTTAGTTGGGCACATGGTTGCCCAGAATAAATATTATTCTCTTATTATTAATAAGAAAATTTAGTAAAGTTGCTGGATACAAAGTTAGCATGCAAAAATCTTGTAGCTACATGTGCCATGTCCATCTCATAGACAATGAGATGTAAATGAAAGAGGTGTATGCAACTTCCAATAAATGCTGTTTAAGGAAAGGAACATACTTTTCTCCATTTCCTTCATCTTGTAGGCTGGAATGCAGAGTTAATACCTAGAAGTTAAGTAGCTCTCATAGCTCAGTATGTGACCTTGGGGATTGTATTATTTTATTTATTTTTATTTTGTTTTTAAGGCGGTAAGGTCTTGCTATGTTGCCCAGGTTGGACTTGAACTCCTGGGTTCAAGCAATGCTCCCACCTCAACCTCCCCAAGTAGCTGGGACTACAGATGCATGCCACCACGCCCAGTGGGGATTGTATTAGTTATCTGTTGTTGCTTAAGAAATTACTCCACAATTTAGTAGCTTAAAACAACAAACATTATCTTGCTGTTTCTGTGGTCAGGAATTTAGGAATGGCTTAGCTGGGTGGTTCTGGCTCAGAGACTCTCATGAGGTTGGAGTCAAACTGTTGGCCAGGGCTGTAGTCGGCTGAAGGCTAAAAAGGGCTGGAGAATCCTTTTCTAAGATGGCTTACTCACATGGCTGTTGGCAGGAGGCATCAATTCCATGCTGGCTATTGGCAATAGGCCTTAGTTCCTCACCACTTGGACATCGCTATAGGACTGCTTGAGTGTCCGCATGACTTGTCAACTAGTTTCTCCCAGAGGGAGTAATCCAAGAGAGAATAGGGAGGGAGCCACAATTTTTTTTTTATGACTTAGTTTTGTAAGTGTCACACCATAATTTCTGTCATAAACTATTCATTAGAAGTAGCTCACGAAATCCAGCCAACATTCAAGAGGAGGGGAATAGATGCCACCTCTTGAAGGGAGGAGCATTGTGTACAGAATCATTTCCCCCCAAAGACAGCCACATCCCCATCTCCAGAACCTGTGAATATGTGACCTTACATGGAACAAACAACTTTGTTGACATAATTAATGATCTTTAGATGAGGCAATCATCCTGGATTATCTGGGGAGGCGCAATATAATCGCAAGCGTCCTTACAAGAGGGGGTCAGGCTAGGCGTGGTCGCTCATGCCTGTAATCCCAGGACTTTGGGAGGCTGAGGTGGTTGGATCACTTGAGGCCATGAGTTTGAGACCAGCCTGGCCAACATGGCGAAACCCTGTCTCTACTAAAAATACAAAAAAATTAGCTGGGCGTGGTGGCACGCACCTGTAATCCCAACTACTTGCGAGGTCCAGGCATGAGAATCGCTTGAACCCGGGAGGCAAAGGTTACAGTGAGCCAAGATTGCACCACAACACTCCAGCCTGGATGGCAGAGTAATACTCTGTCTCAAAATAAATAAATAAATAAATAAATAAATAAGTAAATAAATAAATAAAAGAGGGAGTTAGGAGGGCCAGAGAGTGAATGGAAGTGGGTCAGACTGGTATGGCCATAAGTCAAGGAATATATACAGCCCATAGAAGTTGGAAAAGGCAAAGAATGGATTCTCCTCCACAGCCTCAATAAGGAATGTAGCCTTTGATTTTAACACTGTAAGGCTCATTTTGTACTTCTGGCCTCCAGAAATTTGGGATAATAAATTTGTGCTATTTAAGCCACTAAGTTTGTGGTAATTTGTTACCACAGCATAGGAAATTAATACAAATATCAAAGTGTTTGTGGACATATTTTAAGACTACCCCAGGCCACCCTCTAGTAACAAATTATTTATAGTTCTCCCACGTGCAAAATAAACTTACCCCTTCTAAGGCCCCAGAGTGTTATCCCATTATAGCATCAATTCAAAGTTCAGAATTTTATCCTCTATATAAGTCCAGGGAAGATGAGACTTCTTGGTTGTAATTCCTTAAATATAGCTACTCAGGTACATGCCTTTCAATCTGAAGTTCTGCGAACAAAAAGAAAAAGGTCATATGCTCCTTTCCCCACAGCAACCAATGTAAAATGGCAGGGGCAGAGAGATAACTGCTATAGACACTCCTGTACCAACAGGTGGAAAACAAGGTGTACAGAAGTCACTGGTTCATAGCAATTCTGAAATCCATTTGAGTATAGGTTTGTAGTTCTACATTCGAAGTCTGGGAATAACTCCCTATGGCTTTTGGTTCCATCCTCTGGGCTGTTGGTTTCATCCTCTAGGTCATCCTTTTTTTGTGTGAAAGGGAGATGTGTTTGGACATAAATAGTTTTCTTAGCCTGCTTCCTGTTTGTAGAAATGTGTTTGTAGAAAGGGTCCAAAGACCCCTTTCTTTTTTGTACTCTCTTTCAGGTCAAGCTGACAGTATTTCTGACAATACAATTCTCTTAAAACGATTTTTGAATCTACTGTGAATCTTACTGGGTTTTAGTCCAGGAGACAAAAGTCATGGCAGCAAATACCTTTGAGATACATCTTTTTCTACCTTGGGCTTCTGCTGAAGGACAAAGATCTTAAGTTTCTTAGAAGTCCTATTGTTTGAATGAGAGGACCTGTGAGCCATATTCTTAAAATCTTTTTTTCTGAGACGGAGTCTTACTCTGTCACCCAGGCTGGAGTGCAGTGGCGAGATCTTGGGTCACCACAATCTCTGCCTTCCGGGTTCAAGCAATTCTCCTGCCTCAGCCTCCCGAGTAGCTGGTATTACAGGCACCTGCCACCACGCTCGGCTAATTTTTGTTTGTGTTTTTGTAGAGATGAGGTTTCACCATGTTGGCCAGGCTGGTCTCCAACTCCTGACCTCGGGTGATCCACCCGCCTTGGCCTCTCAAACTGTTGGGATTACAGGCGTGAGCCACCGCACCCAGCCACTCTTAAAATCTTTAGAGGGTCTTTTGCCTGATTGAACAGTACTCTGAGGTACCACCCGTAAACACAACAGGCATGGGGAGTGGGAAAGTGGGGGATGGAGGGTGGATTTTATTTTCTTTTATTTACAAAAATAAAAGACATGGTCTCAGCATTCAGATGTTTCAGAATCTTTGGGGAGACAAACTATATACATTTAAAAAGCACTAAAGAATTACAGGTCATATCCCTAATGAGTATAGATACAAAAATCCTCAACAAAATACTAGCATACTGACTTCAACAATATATTCAAAGAATAATTCACCATGATCAAGTGGGATTTATTCCTGGGATGCAAAGATGGTTCAACATATGGGAATCTATAAATGTGATATACCACATACACAAAAATCATATGATCATTTCAGTAGATACCTAAAAAGCATTTGACAAAATTAAACATCTTTTCATGATGAAAATTCTCAACAAATTAGGTACAGAAGAAACGTACCTCAACACAATAAAGGTCATATATGACAAGCCTATAGCTAACATTCTCAACAGTGAAACGTTGAAGGCATTTCCTTTAAGATCAGGAACAAGAAAAGGATGCCCACTCTCACTGCTTTTTTTTTTTTTTTCAACATAGCACTGGAAGTTCTAGTCAGAATAATTAAGCAAGAGAAATAAAAGTCATCTTAATAGGAAAGGAAATGTTGGAATTTTCTTTTTGTCGACAATATGATCTTATATATAGAAAACCCAAAAGACTCCACCAAAAAAAAAAACTGTTAGAACTAATACATTCAGTAAATTGCTGTACACAGTCAACACACAAAAATCAGCAACATTTCAGCAACAACAAATTCAAAAAAGAAATGAAGAAAATAATTCTACTTACATGAGCAAAAACCAAAACTGAAACAAAAAAGGTGTAAATTTAACCAAGAAAGTGAAAGATCTTTACACTAAAAACTAAAAAACACGGATGAAAGAAATTAGAAAAAACACAAATAAATGAAAAGACATCCCATGTTCTTGAATTGAAATAATTAATATAATTAAAATGCCCATGCTACTCAAAGTGATTTATAGATTCAATACAATTCCTATCAAAATTCCAGAGTTATTTTTCATGGAAATAAAAAAATCCTAAAATTCATATGGAACTGTAAAAGATCCCAAATAACCAAAGCAATCTTGAGCAAAAAGAACAAAGCTGGGCCAGGCGCGGTGGCTCATGCCTGTAATCCCAGTACTTTGGGAGGCCGAGGCGGGCAGATCACGAGGTCAGGAGTTCAAGAGCAGCCTGGCCAACATGGTAAAAAACCTTGTCTCTACTAATAATACAAAAAAATTAGCTAGGCATGGTGGTGCACACCTCTAGTCCCAGCTACTTGGGAGGCTGAGGCAGGAGAATCACTTGAACCCAGGAGGTGGAGGTTGCAGTGAGCTGAGATTGTGCCACTGCATTCCAGCCTGAGAGACAGAGCCAGACTCCATCTCAAAAAAAAAAAAAAAGAAGAAGAAGAAAAAAAAAAAGAACAAAGCCGAAGGCATCACAGTACCTGACTTTAAAATAAACAACAAAGTTACAGTAATCAAAACAGCATGGTATGCAATAAAAACATACATTGGCCAATATAACATACTAGAGAGTCCAGAATTTACAGACAATTGAATTTTGATAAGGAGCCAAGAACACTCAATGGAGAAAGGAATCTCTTTGATAAACACTGTTGGGAAACCATATATCCATGTGTAGAAAAATGAAATTGGACCCTTATCTCACACCATACACAAAAGTCAAAATGGATTAAAGACTTACATGTAAGACCGGAACTACTAGAAGAAAATATAGGGGGAAAGCTACTAGAAGAAAAAATAGAAGAAAGCCACTAGAATAAAACATAGGGGGAAAGCTCCACTACATTGGTCTGGGCATTTTTTTTGGACATGACCTCAAAAACACAGGCGAGAAAATAAAAAATAAACACATAGGATTACATGAAACTAAAAACTTCTGCACATCAAAGGAAACAGTTAACATAGTGAAGAGACAACCCACTGGATGGGAGAAAATATTTACAAATCATACATCTGACAAGGGGTTAATATCCAAGATATACAAGAAACTCAGTAGCAAGAAAGCAAATAACCTAATTTTAAAAATAGGCAAATAATCTGAACAGACTTTTTTTTTTTTTAATTTTTTTTTGTAGAGATGAGGCCTCACTATGTTGCCCAGGCTGGTCTCAGACTCTTGGGCTCGAGCAGTTCTCCTACCTTGGCCTCCCAAAGTGCTGAGATTATGGGTGTGAGCCACCATGCCAGCCTGACACAGCCATTCTTAAAAGAAGACATACAAATGGCCAACAGGTTTGTGAAAAAAAAAAAATTACTATTATTAGGGAAATGCAAAATAAAATTACAATATCACCTCACACCTGTTAGCATGGCTATTAAGCTGGGTGTGGTGGCTCACACCTATAATCTCAGTACTTTGGGAAGCTGAGGTGGGCAGATTACTTGAGGGTCAGGAGTTTGAGACCAGCCTGGCCAACATGGTGAAACCCCATCTCTACTAAAAATGCAGAAATTAGCCAAGTGTGGTGGCACATGCTTGTAATCCAAGCTACTTGGGAGGCTGAGGCAGGAAGATTGCTTGAACCCAGGAATAGAGGTTGCAGTGATCTGAGATTGCGCCACTGCACTCCAGCCTGGGCAACAAAGTGACTCTTTAAAAAAAAAAAATGGTTATTATCAAAATGATGAAAAATAATGTGTTGGTGAGGATGTGGAGAAAACTTTTACACTGTTGGTATTATTACAGCCATTATGGAAAACTATATGGAGGTTTCCCAAAAAATTAAAAATAGAACTATCATATGATCCAGCGACACTATTTCTGGACATATATTGAGTAACTGAAATCAGTATATCAAAGACTTATTTGCATTTCCATGTTCATTTCAGCATTATGCACAATCGCTGAGATAATGGAATCAACCTGTGTCCACCAATGGATGAATGGATAAAGAAAATGTGGTAAACATATATAATGGATACTATTCAGCCTTAAAAAAGAATTTGTCATTTGTGACAACATGAATGAACTTGGAGGACATACTAAGTGAAAAAAGCCAGGCACAGAAAGACACATACCACATGATCTCACTTATATGTGGAATCTTAAAATGTCAAACTCATATAAGTAGACAGTAGAATAGTGCTTAGAGGCTGGGAAGGGACGGGGCGGGTCGGAGATGGAGCATGGGGAGATGCTGTTCAAAGGGTACAAGGTTCAGTCAGACAAAAGCAGCAAGTTTCTGAGATCTATTGCATAGTGTGGTGACCATAGCTAATAATAATATATCGTATATCTCAAAACTGCTAAGAGTAAATTTCAAAT